TGCTAATTAGTGCTTTAAAATTTACTTTTTAAATCCTGGCGTTTGCCGTGGTCAGCCTGTGCCAGCCCCGGGTCCAACATTTCGGACTGTCCCTTTAAGAATCTCAAAGCGAGTGGTTTTACTGTCGACAGGAAACAGCCGACGTGATCCCGCTGCAGACTTTGCGATCGGAGATTTGAAGTCTGATCAGATCATCCTCGTGTCTGTGGTGCGCGCTTTTTGTCGCACGTTTAAAAAAAATCATTTAAGACCGAAAAATCCTGTGGTGTCCGGTGTTGGGAAGGTGACTTTTAAAATGTATTCCTCTGCAGATTACAGATTACATACCCCAAAATGTAGTTTGTAACGTAATCCATTAAATTACTTAAAGTGAGTAATGTAATCTGAATACTTTGGATTATTTGATTTGCTGGAGAGAAGCAAAGACGAGGAAATCGTAACATAAGATGTTTTGTCTGTTAAAAGAAAATAAAAAGCCCAGACTTTACATAAACATATTAAAAATATTATTGATAGAAGAAGAGATACATCTACACAGCATGATTTAGTCCTGTTAAATCCCTGGTTTAGTCCTGGTTTAGACCTAGTGTAGACCTGGTTTAGAATTGGTTTTGACCTGGTTTTAGGTTTTAGGGTGGTTAGACCTGGTTTCAGATTTGGTTTAGACCACTCATTCCACTCATTGCCAGACACTAAGGCTACGTTCAGACTGCAGCCTGAAGTGACCCAAATCCGATTTTTTGGCCTCTATGTGACCTGTATCTGATCTTTTAATGACAGTCTGAACGACACAGATCCAATATTTTCAAATGTGACCCAGGACACTTGGATATGTGCTCCTAAAACTGATACATATCTGATCTTTTGACATGTGACTTCAGTCTGAACGGCCAAAGTGCATTCATCCACCTACACGTTATCAACAAGACACAAACGTCACTATTCTGCGCTGAAGTAGGTGAAAATTGTTAATGAACTCCGTGTCACTGAAGTGAAGCACATCACCACTCACCACTCTTGGCTCCGTCTCCACATCCACACGTTCCTTTCAACGGACGTCGCTGCCGCTGCCCCACAAAACACCACGACCAAAAACCTCGTCCTTCTCCTTCTCAATCTCCTCCTTAAAACAAGTAAGTTGTTCATGTTCTGGCTCCGGTACGAGAGGAACTTTAAAATCTCCAGGTGCTCGATGCTCGCGTCCATGTTTGGACAACTTCTGTAAACACAGAGACGCTCGCTGCGGTTGACGTCGTCGTGTCTCCAGTGTCACATGTGGGACACTTTTGGGCTGTTTAATGTTCACACTGGAGTCACATACAAGTCACATTTAATTGGAAATGTGAACGACCTCGCAAAAACATCGGATTTCACAAAAAAATCGGAATTGAGCGTTAAGCCCTGCAGTCTGAACGTTGCTTAAATCAGGTCAAACCTACTTTTGACCTGGTTATAGACCAAAATGTAAAAACAGGAAAATACTGAAAAATCCATTTATTTCAACAAAGTAACTGTAATCCAATTATCACTCATTGAAACAGTAACTGTAACTGAATACAGTTACTCATAATTTGTACTCTGATTACGTAACTCCGGTACATGTAATCTGTTACTCCCCAACACTGGTGGCGTCCAAACAGCAGGACTAACTAAAGCAGCAGTACTTCAGTAATTTGTTGCACCACTACTTTGTACTTCTATTATTTTGAAGTAACAGTATACAATAGTAGTACAATTAGTAGTTTTTCTAGTACTTCTGCAGTAGCCCACGTTTAAAAAAACAAATTTAAGACCGAAAAATCTTGTAGTGTGTGACGGGAAGGTGACTTTTAAAATGTATTCCCCTACAGATTACAGATTACATACCCCAAAATGTAGTTTGTAACATAATCCATTAAATTACTTAAAGTGAGTAATGTAATCTGAATACTTTGGATTACTTGATTTGCTGTAGAAAAGCAAAGACGAGGAAATCTTCACATAAGAAATTTTGTCTGTTTAAAGAAAATAAAAAGCCCAGACTTTACTGAACCAAATTAAAAATATTATTGATAGAAGAAGAGGAGACACGTCCATGCAACATGGTTTAGACCTGTTAAATCCTGTTTTAGACCTGGTTTAGTCCTGGTTTAGTCCTGGTTTAGTCCTGGTTTAGACCTGGTTTAGTCCTGGTTTAGTCCTGGTTTAGTCCTGGTTTAGTCCTGGTTTAGTCCTGGTTTAGACCTGGTTTAGTCCTGGTTTAGTCCTGGTTTAGACCTAGTTTAGACCTGGTTTAGTCCTGGTTTAGTCCTGGTTTAGACCTGGTTTGGATTAGCTGGATTAGACCTGGTTTGGTTTAGTCCTGGTTTAGACCTGGTTTGGAGCTGGATTAGACCTGGTTTAGTGTCCAGCAATGAGTGGAATTACTGAAAAAAAAAAAAAAAAAGCAACATAGCCCAAAATGTGAAGACAGGAAAATCCCTCTGTGTAATCCATTTATTTCAACAAAGTAACTGTAATCCAATTACCACTCACTGAAACAGTAACTGTAACCGAATACAGTTACTCATAATTTGTACTCTGATTACATAACTGGTGGAGTCTAACTAAAGCAGCAGTACTTGAGTAATTTGCTGCACCACTACTTTGTACGTCTGTTATTTTGAAGTAACAATGTACAATAGTAGTACAATCAGTAGTTATTGTAGTACTTCTGCAGTAGCCACACACACACACACACACACACACGCACACACGCACACACACACACACGCACACACCCACACACACACACACACACACACACACACACACACACACACACACACACTGAGGGTCGCAGCTCCGGTCAGTTCCTATTGTTTCTATAGAAGTTAGAAAGGCAGTTTTTTCCTCCTCTTTTCCTCTCTTTCTCCTCCTCTTGTTCAGTCACGCATACCAGATCCTGCGCCAGCCCCGGACCCCCTTCACCCCTCTTTCTCTCTCTCTCTCTCTCCGTCTCTCTTTCTCTCCCCCCCCCCCCCCACACACACACACAGTAGTTCTTTGGCATTCCACACCACGGCTCAAAGCGTTTAAAGCTGTTTCTTTTCGCTCTCTCTCTTTCTCTCTTTCTCTTTCTCTCTCTCCTGAGTCGCCGGGTCTGTGGGGATTTAAAGGATAAAGGCCGGAGCAAAGAGCTGGAATGGTCGACCGAGGGAACCAAAGACAGAAGGGAAGAGAGAGAAGAGAGTGAAAGAGACAGAGAGATGAGGGAAGAGTGCGAGTGTCTGAAAAGAAAGAGAGAGGAGAGAGAAAGGAGACATCAGGAGCGGAGATAAACGGAAAGAGAAAGAGAGAGAAAGCTGGAAAGAAGAGAGAGGAAGAAAGAGGAGCTGAGAAAATCCCTGTGTCATTCGTTTTTCAAAATAAAACTAAAAATAAGACATGAAAAAAAAAAAACTATTTTCTTCATTATTTGTTTCCAAAACCAAAATGAAAAAATTGATAATGATTTGTTTTTTCAGTTTTCGATTTTGTGTTTAAATGAAAAATGGAAAAAAAAAAAAAGGATAATGGACGTTTTTCGTTTTCGTGACTTAAACTGTGATGCCGAACTGAACCAGGACTAAAACAGGACTAAACCAGAACTGAACCAGGACTAAACTAGGTGTCAGTCCTGGTCTCAATCCTGGTCTCAGTCTTGGTCTCAGTCTTGGTCTCAGTCTTGGTCTCAGTCTTGGTCTCAGTCTTGGTCTCAGTCCTGGTCTCAGTCTTGGTCTCAGTCCTGGTCTCAGTCCTGGTCTCAGTCTTGGTCTCAGTCTTGGTCTCAGTCCTGGTCTCAGTCTTGGTCTCAGTCCTGGTCTCAGTCCTGGTCTCAGTCCTAAACCAAGACTAATTAGGATTAAATCAGAACAAAACCAGGGCTAAACCAGGACTAAACCAGAACTAAACCAGGGCTAAACCAGGACTAAACCAGGACTGAACCAGGACTAAAACAGAACTAAACCAGGACTGAACCAGGACTAAACCAGGACTGAACCAGGACTAATCCAGAACTGAACCAGGACTAAAACAGGACTAAACCAGGACTGAACCAGGAGTGTCGGGTCATGTGATCAGGAAACCGAGACCAGACCGGGACTGAGACTGGGACTAAGACCTGGTATAGTCCTGGTTCAGTCCTGGTTTAGGACTGAGACCAGGACCGGACCGGGACTGAGACCAGGACTGAGACCAGTTTAGACCTAATTTAGAGCTGGTTTAGATCTGTTTTAGTCCTGGTTCAGTTTTGGTTTAGTTCTGGTTTAGTCCTGAGACCGGGACTGGACCAGGGCCGAGACTGGGACTGAGACGACGACTGAGACCATTTTAGACCTGATTTATTTATTTTTCATTTTAGTTTTGGAGACAAATAATGAATAAAAATAGTTGTTTTTTTTTCGTTTTCTTATTTTTGATTTTATTTTGAAAAACAAATGAACGAATGATACGCGGATTTGGGAAAGAAGAGGAAGAATCTGGAAGAGAGATAGAGGGAGGCAGAGAAACTAAAGAGAGAGAGAAAGAGGGGAGGAGTTTGTAGAGACAGAAGAATGTAGAGAGAGATTGAGAGAGAAGAGAGGGAAGAACAGAAGAAGAAAAAAGGGGCAGGGGTCAGAGAGAAGGAAAGAGAAAGCAGAGAGATAGATAGAAGGAGAGAGAAGAAGAGAGAGGAAGAGAGAAAGGGAAGGTGGAACAGATGATAAAATGACAGAAGGGTGAGAGAAAGACGCAAGGGTCAGAGGATATGACGGAGAGAGAGAAAGACGGAGGAACATAGAGAGATGGAGTTAGAAAACAAAACAGAGAGAGAAAGGAAAGAATAAAAAGAGACAAAGAAATAGTGAAATAAAAGGACAGAGGTCCGATAATGTGAGAGAGGAACAACAGATTTAGAGAAACAGAAAGGAAAGAAAAAGCGAAGAGAGAGAGATCGAAGGAGAGACAAAAATATGACGGAAAGAAAGAGAGAAAGAGAGAGATTGTCATAGTTGTGTTACCTTTTTAGTTTTGTTGTTGCTGCTGTTTGGTTTTCACTTTGACACGAGAAAGATGAAGCTCGGAGCAAACGCCAAAACTGAATCTGAAAGAAATATTAAACAAAAATTAAGATTTAACTTTCACAGACGGACCCAGTCAACAGAAGTAAACACAAGGCCAAAAAGTTAATGCATCTGATATAAAAATGTATTGAACAGATACATATGTACTCTAATTTATGAAACTGTTTACCTTTTTTCTGTACCATTTTTGGTTCTAAAGTTCCATATGTTTGAAACAGACCATGTATGAAACATGGAACAAAAAAATATTTCCCAAATTTCAAAGACCTGAAAATCATGTAAATAAACAGATGTATTTCATCATATCTTGTGTTATTCCATCTTTGAACTGTTGATGAAGGAACATGATTTAAAAAAAAATAACATATTTTATAGAAATAGTTTCCTTTCATTTTGAAGTAATATTAAAGTATTTGGAAGAAAAAAATTGACAAATTATGTAAAATCATGCACCTTCTACTTGTTTGCACAATTTTCCCTCCGTTACCATGACTTTTCTTAATAAAAAATCTCATTACTCAAAAAGTAAGAGGTTTTTCAACCTAATCTCGTACCAAACAAACCTGCGTATTTAGGCCTACAGAGTTCTTCCCTCAAACTGAAATCACTCCTTCTTTTTCCACCTTGTGATGTCATGCTCCACTGTGTTTTTAAACTCCACGCACCTTCACTAGAATCATTTGGATCATTTCAGCCCTGGAGTTTGCAATCTCTACTGAACTAAAGTTAAAAAAGTAGCTGTAAACATGAATATAATACTATTTCTACATGGTAGAAACCTATATGAAGCAAATATTCAAACCAGTTTGTTAAGGATATGTAAGTGAGAACCAAGAGTTATCACTGTTTGTATTTATTTGCCAAAAAGTGCTCATATTTCATTCCCTCCGTTACCCGACATGAGTTTTTAAATTTTTTGTCAACAACTTGAAAGAATATCACAGGTTTAACTTGACCCTGTTGGAGTGTAACTCTTTCCTACATTCTGATACTTTACTTATTTCAATAGTTCCTCTAGTTTCTGAATAAGAGACATTTGAATGTAAAAAATCTGCCCCTGTTTCCCTCCATTACCACTTGACCGAACCCAAACTTAAAGGCAATTTTAGTACATTTGTCCTCGCCTGGATTTTTTTCTTAATTTTGCATTTTAAACTCCTCCTTTTTACCTCCTAATGAAGTGTTATACATCCTTTTTTTTCAGTACAACCTGTTATTCCACATCTGTACGCTGTAGTTGTGTCATATGGATGTAATAAAAGCTACAAGACCAGAAATACAAAAAAACTGAAAATAAAATTTACACTCTTTCATACAAAACACAAAGCAAACATGTATGAACAACTTTTTGGACATAAAATAATCCTTAAAGGGCCCATCTCATGCAAAATAACTCTTTTCACATTGTGTCTTATGCACATAAACAAGCACAATTTGGGTTTTTTGGGCGAAGCGTTTTCTGCTACTTCAAACGCGTCATCGTTGTAGCAGCTTTATGTAGTTGTCACGTGGGAGAGTGGCAGAAATATGTTGCAGTTTGTTAAAAAACAAAACGCCGAATCAATCTAAAAACCACTTCGGTGACATTTACAAGGCCCACACAAACTCTTAGAAGGTAGAAAGCTCTGAAAACTTGATTTTGCGTGAGATGGGTCCTTTAATTTAGGATCTTAGTTACAAAAGTGCAAAATATCAAGTCTGTAAATAAACTAAAAATATTCTTACTGCCCTCAAAACAAAAACAAAAAAAAGTGCAATGGCTCCATGACTTTCCAGGTGTCATGGAAACAGCTGGTGTCAGGTCCAGGTCACAGAGCCACATCACTTCTTGCATTTTCATGGTGTTTATTTATTTATTTTATTTATTTGTTTTTTTATACTTTATGAATGAAATAAATAGACATAGACAGTGTCACAATATCAAACATACGTGAAATAAATGAAAAGGAGCAGAAAGAAGAGAAATCTCATGTTATCTGCCTCCCTTTCCCCTTTCAAGACAATACTTCAACACTGATGGTTACTAACATGTTTATTACATTTGGATTTGTACATTTTGAGAGAAATAAATATTTCAAATAAAAATAGCCTATAGGGATGTGCAATTACACAGACCAAGATGCATAATTTGCCATTTATTTGAGAAATATCTGCACTTAGAGCGACTTTTTCAATTGTTACAAACACAGACGCTCAGAGCATCAATCATCTTGATTCACTACACTCTTTAGCAAAGTTTGGGCCAATCAGAATGGATGGAGCCATGAGTTTGTCGGAAAACAAAGTTCACCC